CCCATCTTACGGATCGGTTTCCCAAACCCAGTGGCACGAAACCACACATTTATCTTACGTTTTGGAAAGCGAGAACCGTCTATGGAAGTGACTCTCGCGTGGCTAAAATCAAAGGCCGCAGGGCTGGGAGCCTCCTGGCAGCCCCGGGGGCCTCTTTTCTTGGCCTTCCTCAGCTCCCAGAGGCACCTGTGTCCCTTGGCTCAAGCCCCTCCCTCCGCCTCCAAAGCCAGGACATCAGGCTGAGCCCTTCCCATGCCGCCGCCTCGGCCACCCCCTCCAGTCCTAAGGAACTCTGTGACTATGCGGGGCCCAGACCGTCTCTCCATCTCGAGTCCGGCTGGTCAGCAACCTTCATCCCACCGGCAACTTTAGTCCCCCTTCGCTAGGTGACAGTCACAGGTTTGGGGCTAGGGTGTGGACATTTGGGGTGGCATCCTCCGGTCACCGCAGACTGCCCTCCAGCATGTCTCCCCTGCACAGCTCACGCACAGTAGAACAGCTTGCCCCAGGTCCCCACAGCCGCAGCCAAGTCCCCGGTCTTCGAAACATCTGCACCGGGCAGGTCCGAGACGACGCGTGACCCATCCTGGCACGAAGTCGCTCCCCACGTGTGGGCCTCTGACGGTAGAAACGTCACCCGCTCCCAAAATACAATGGCAAAAGAGGCACTGCCACCCAGAAAGAGAGAAAGGGGAGGAGGGGGCATCGCCTGGTTAAAATCCAGCCGGGCGAACCGCAATAGGGGGCCGCAAGGCCTGCGCGACACCCTCTGTGGCCCCAGGCTCTGCCCTCCGGTCACAGCTCCCCGCCACCCCCCCGGTCATACTTCTTTAGAGAGAAGGTAGCAAGTGTTTGCTGCGGTTTCGTCAGGGTTTGGGGGGTCGGGGGGCGGACAGCCTCTCTTCCTCCTCTCTCTGCCCCTTTCCGCCCAGCCTGGCAGGGTGTGTGATGGCCGCGGTTCTTGAGAAACACGTGGGTCCCCTGTGTGTGCCGCGGGACTTGCTCCCCCAGACAGGAGGCTCCTCCAGACCCTCGGACAATCTCCTGTCTGCGGCTGCTGCTGAGGTGACCGTGGTGTCCGTCGGTCACGGCAGGGAGACCTCGGGTGGGCGAACACGTGGGCCTTGCTGGCCCTGCGAGGCGCGCAGCCTCCGGCCACATCTGCGGTCTGGAGGGGGCGTCTCCTCATTTCGGTGTCTTCTGCATCTGCCGTGTGACACGGCCAAGTCCCCGAGGCGCCCAGCGCGAGGTCCCTTCTGTTTAGTCCCCCTTCCCTCGGCGTGTCTCCTTCACCTCGCTTCGCCGTCCACAGCAAGACCCAAGTGGGACGAGCGGCCCGCGCCTTCCACCTCGGCTCGTGAGGCCCTCGGCGGAGCGGCCGAGCTGACCGCGGTCCACGCCGCTGGGCCCTCATTCGCCTCCGAGCCTTCGGGACGAGCGCTTAGCATCCATCCCGCCGACGACCTGATTCAGGGGACCCGGGCCTCTCCCGCCCGCTCTGCCCGTGCCGGAGCCGCGTCTCCGTTCACAGGCGCGGTTCCCGGCAGCACTCCAGGCCCAGAACCAAGCTCGGCACTCGCTCCGTCTCTGCTGGGACCAATGGCCACAAACACACGTGTTTCCTTACTGTCCGGAGGTCAGAAGTCCAGAGCGGGCCTCAGGGGGTGCGAACCAAGTGGGCAGGGCTGGCTCCTGCTGGAGGCTTGAGGGGGACTCTCCCCGCTTCCTTTTCCAGCCTCTGCCTCCCGGCTCACCCTGTCCCGCCTCCCTCCCCCTGTGATGACGGGACCGCCATGGGGACAGGCTCTGTCTCAGGTTCGGCGGATGGGCCACCTTAATTTCTTCAGCAGCTTTAGCTCCCCTTTGCTAGGGAAGGTGACATAGTCACAGGTCCCAGGGTTTAGGACATGGACATCTTTGGGGAGGCTGTTCCTCTGCCCGTGGGCAGAGCCAGCAGAGCTGGGTGAACCAGGCCGGGGCAGGCAAGTGACGGGCTGTCCAGGCACGGCCGGGACCCCGCCCGAGTGAGTCTGCACGCCTCAGGCTGGGCCCTCAGCACCGGGCCCCGCTGCCGGCAGAGCCGCCTCTCCGTGCTGGCCGGG